CTCCTTACTCTTATACAGTTTTTATATTTACAAATTTCAATTTTGTAACACAGCACACTTATAAATATATCAAAATCTTGTAGGAAGAGAATTAATAAATCAACAGTAAATAAATAATTGCACATCAACTCGACGCTAACTCAAGAGTTTTTGAACCTGAATAATAGCTATAGCTCGACAAGAGGAGACAGCGGATCTGCAGTCCTCCCAGGTGTTTGAACGTTTTGAAGCAGCTGCCCAAGTGTCGAGCGAACACGGACGTGGTCTTCGCTTTGGTTGGACGCGTTACCCCAGCACAATCCCCTCCACATGCCGTAAGCATGCTGCTGAGCTGAGGTTTGTTCTTTGTAGCTGCACTGGGACTGCACTAGAACCGGACCAGTACAAGCGAGGACAGGCCAGTGCCAAGAGTGCAGGTTGCTTATAAAGAACGATATTCGTGCAGAGTGGTGCAGAGTAGTACAATATGGAGTACGAAGATTTACTGATAGATTCATCCGATGACGAAAATGTTGTAATGCCACCGATTTTAAATATTTTATTGGAAGATAATAATGGTAAGAAGTAATGTATAAATGCAGTAATACAATAATTGATAAAATTAAAATATATATGAAGTCTAACCTATTGACATATTTGATCTTTTAGAAAACAATGAATTAGTACATTTGCCAGTTTATGGACTAGTTGGAAGGGTTGGAAGGATACAGCACATCAAAGTTGTTAACTATATAGAAAATATAGTTAGAAATTATATAGCGAGAGATTTTCTGATGCATTTTCGATTATCAAGAGCCGTAGCATATGAGCTCATAAATCAGTTCGAAGTATCCGATATATTTATCGAAATATCAAGTATGTGTATGTTTATATATATATATATATATATATATATATATATATATATATATACATTTATATAGAACCTTTCCTGTATAATTGTCAAAAAACACTCTTATATATTAAGTGCCAAAAATCACTCCCTACATCATGAAATATATTTACAATTAAATAGATTATAAAGATTGATAATATAGCATTGATTAAAGTACAATCAAAGGAAAAAGAGATCTATTCTCTGTAGTTGTATTATACAAATTAAAATAAATATATAATTAAACATTTATTGAAAGAAAAAGTGCAATGATGAAAGTACAAAGAATTCACTCGAAACCAGAGCCAATTCCGATTATTGTATAGTTTAATTTTAAAACATTATATATGTATAAAAAAGATATATTTTATGTAAACCTATGCTAATTTTTCAGATCATGCAGGAAATTTAAAAATAACTGCAGAGAAACATATCCTGTGTTATTTGTGGTTTGTTGGCCATGAGAGTGCATCTTATCGAGATGTAGCAGATCGATTCGGTGTTACTATTAGTTGTTTACATACTATAATTACGAGAGTTACACAGTTTATTATGACATTAGCCCCAAATGTTATAAGATATCCGACAGCCGTCGAGAAAGAAGAAAGTGCTACATATTTTCTACAAGAGAAAGGATTTCCTGGTGTTATAGGTAAAGCATTTATGTGTTTCTTTATATATATTTTGTATACAATTTTTTTCTTATATATTATTGTTTCTTTTTAAGGGGCCATAGATGGATCTCATATAAGAATCGATAAACCAATGGAGGATCCTGATTCTTATATCAACAGGAAATCTTATTTTTCTATACATATGCAAGGAACAGTGAACCACAAAATGAAATTTATTGACGTGTTTATTGGATATCCAGGCTCCGTTCATGACGCTAGAGTGTTAAAAAATTCAACAATATATGCAGATTTACGGCAACTTTGCGGAGGTAAACTGAAAATAAAAATAAGCAGAAAATCAGTTTAAAGATGAGATTACATACATCCGACAACGACTTGTCGAATTGGCTGTGAGATAAAAAATTTCTCAAGTCTAGAAACTTTCTATCTTGCAGCCTATCGCTACGTCCAACAATGTCATTGTCGGATGTAAGAAATCTCAGCCTTACAACACAATGTATGTTGTATGTATGTATGTACATTGCTGAAAAGCAGCCACAATGATTGCGGTCATTGTAGAGAAGCTTTAATGTATTTATTGCATTGTTAATGTATTTAATGTATTATTACCATTAATATTTTTTATTATTTAATATTTATTTTTTATTCATAATATTACCAAAAATATTATTTTTTTAGATAATTATATTCTATTAGGAGATAGTGCGTATCCTTGCTTATCACAACTAATTGTGCCCTATAAGGATAATGGCCACTTAACTCGACGTCAAAGAACCTTCAATCAAAAATTAAGTTCTTCGAGAGTAATAATTGAAAATGCATTTGGCTGTTTAAAACAACGATTTCGTCAATTATATCATTTCAAGTTAAGAGATATTGTACGGATGGTACATGTTATTCATGCATGTTGTGTGTTACATAATATAGCAAATGCACAAGATTTACAATTTTTCGAAGATGCCATAGATGATCAAGGACCAGACATTGCAGCACAAAACCAACAAGTAATTGATAATCTACCAAGAGAATATGAAACGAATACACAAAAACGAGATGAAATATGTCTTCAAATAACTCGAGGATAAGAATTAAGAATAACTTTGTATCAATGTATTATATATATATATATATATATATATAAATTTACATGTAAATTTATAATAAATGTGTAATTCATATATAATTAAAGAGAGGATGAAATTATAAAAAATATTTGGTAATAAAATGTATCTATATTTATTTGTAGTAAAACAAACATAAAATTACATATCTTGTAATTATTGATCCTCTGATCCTTTGAATAATTATTAATCATTATTAACCAAAATAAAAACATATAATCACAGTTACGTATCAAGTGTGTTTTTATCGCTGAACTTACTTTTACATTGCAGTTCACACTTGTAGTTAAAAAAAAATACAAATGTTAATGTAACTTTTAAACTAAAACAAACATAAAATTACATATCTTGTAATTATTAATCCTCTGAATAATTATTAATCATTATTAACCAAAATAAAAACATAACATAATCACAGTCACGTATCAAGTGTGTTTTTATCACTAAACTTACTTTTACATTGCAGTTCACACTTGTAATTAAAAAAAATGTTAATGTAACTTAAAAATAAAAATAAATACAATAAAAATAATTGTAAAATTATTTCCACGCAATATAGCTTTAAAGTTTTTTACTTTTTTCAGAAAGAAGTTCATTCAGTAATTCATTTCTTTCTGCTCTTAATTTGTTAGCAATTGTCATTTCCTCCTGTACTTTGATCATATGTTGTTCATATGCTAATCTTAATTTACTATGTTCTTCTAGTATTTGTTTTTGTATTTCATGCCTCTTTTTATTTTCTGCTTCTATTTCACTTCTTAGATCTTGAATACTTTGTTCATACATGTGCAAAGCTTTTGCTGTTGTTCCCATTTGCTTCCTATGACCTTTTGTCTGTAATATTTACATTTTAAAAATATTTTAAATATAAATAAAGATATAGGTCCAATACATATTTTTTTACTTACTACATTATTATGGTTCGTGTCACTCCGTACCGTTTCTTGAGATGTTGAGGATTCATAATTTATTACTGGATGAGTTTGTGCAGAATTAGATGTTGAAAGTTCATTATTTATTACTGGATGAGTTTGTGCAGAATTAATTGTTGCTTCATTAATGTCATATGAGTTATTATTTTTATATGAGCCTATGTTTCTATTCAAATTTGTAATATTGGGAGAAATATTTTCAGTATCTTCATTTCCTTCATCAAAACGTCTATAACATTGTGATAAATAAATGCAAAGTTTCATATACATTATACATAAATAAAACTGTGTGTATTTTTAAATATATTATATTTGTTCGTTGTAATGTATGAATATTTATTATAAAATATTGCTTTTTAGATGTCTTCTATAATACTTACAAAGGAGTTTGTCTTATGTCGCTTCTGAATGTAGTACCTTTGTTTCCTGATAGAACCAAAGGCTCAATATTGTGTCTATGACCTAACAGTTCTGTCAATTCCCTATAACAAAAAAATGCTTTTTAAAATATATATTTATAAAGATATTTTTTTAATTATTTGTTATATATATTAACTTCTAATACTTACGTTTGAAAGGGGCAGGTCATTCTATTTCTACCTGTTTGTTTGTTATGTGTTACTGTATTTTTGTATGATCTTTCTAACGACTTGTACTTATTCTCTGCTTGAATCGGTGTTACGTTATAGCCTTTTAAATTCATAATTTCAGATATTTTTTGCCACATTATCTTTTTGGTTTTTAGTTTTCTGTTTGCAAGTTGAACACTTTTTTCTTTATATAAAGATAAAAATAATTTGATACTGGCATCTGACCATGAGTGTGTTTGATTTCTGTTTTCCTCTCTTCCTATTTCATCTTCATTGTTTATTATTTCACTAACTTGTCTTTCAGTGACATTTTCAACATTATTCTCAGTAAAATTTGTACTATTTTCTTCATTGTTTCGTACATCATCATGTAATGGTATTAATATGTTTTTATTGTCAACTGTACAGTTAAGTGTGTCACAAGAGAAATCAAGATCTTTGTACGAAATTGCAAACTGTAATCCTCCTACACACAAATACAAAGTATATTATTAAATATTTTACATATGGTTTATGTGACAATTAGGGTCGGTTTTTTCAACTTTTTGGTAAGCAAGAAATTGAAAAAAGTGACCTTATAGTTATTGATACGGTAATTGTTAGATATCTCTTGAATCTGTCTGTAAAACTATTTTTACGTATATCTATTATTACCTTCAGTATAACATGTTACGTTTCCATTCGCATCTACTAAGATATTCCCTCTCTCATCTTTCTGTATTCTTCCAATTTCATTGTCCATTGTCTTGTTTGATCTTGTTTATTATAAAATGATCGCTTCTAATAATTTTAGGTTATTGTGTACTACACTGACTGCAACTGACTGCACCAGACTGCACTGCACTGGTTGTACTACCTCCGGACCCAGTGCAATCAGTACAGTGAACTGTTGCACTAGTTCTCTTGCACTGTTACTAAGAACGGCAACACTTTTACCAATTCTGCTACAAAGAACGCTTCAGTGTACACTTTTTGAACTAGTACAGCCAGTTCAGCTACAAAGAACAAACCTCTGCTCCATCTCCGTCAGCTCCGTGCTCCGGCTTTGTCTGCAGTCTGGTATCACCGCGGGGAGGTGCGCAGGGCCGTGGATCGCGGACATCGCGCCCATCGCGGTTCGTTTCGTCGCAGACGTCGCAGTTCGTGGAGCGCGT